GTTTAAAAAAAAAAAAAAAAAAAATCAAGTTATAATTAAATCTTACTGATTCTCTGACTATACACAAAAAAGATGTTCGCAAGAAGTTTTATATTTCCTTGCTAATAAAGTCTTTACACTTTCATTAAAATAACTTGAAGCTTATCTTCATGTATCTCCTTTATCCTCCCTTACTTGTTTATAAACTCCTTTAAATAAAACTTGAGCCTCTAGTGATCCGAAAAGACTCAAGTATACACTTCCTTTACTAAGGGCAAGAAGATTCTAGGAAGTAAAAAGACTGACAAGTGGAGTGTCACCTTACAGAGCTAAAAGTGACAAGAAATAGAGATTTTGTTGGCAAGGGAAGGCTTATTATTCACCTTTTCATATACTGTCTTGTACCCTCTTAAAATATCTACTGTTTTTCATAGTTTTCTTGAGAAATTTTGGCTACATCAGTTTGATCCTGAATTTTTGGTAGCACAACATCACCTGGTATCTGATTGGTTAACATGAAACACATTAGTAACTGAATGTAAACAAGCTCTTATTGGTCACCTCATATGTTCCGATTATGTCATTGGTGATAGAAAGAGTTGATTGATACCCTGTGTTCACCCACTCCTCCAATTGGATTAATCTACAGATTAAGTACCATGAGATCAATAAGATACGAGCAACAAGTCCCCAGGTGGTGAAAAAGCTGCTATTTGTTCAAGCTAAGGTCATTTTCTCCTATTATTCTGGTCAAGCAAAGTTCAAGACCAAGACCTCCTTTTTATTCTGGTTAGGCAATAAGACCGAATGGTCTCTAGTTCATACTAAGCTCCAATCCTTTGGTTACAGTTGAGAATGCATTTCCCCAGAAGTTGTTAAAGAATATCACAATTGATGAGAATCTTCACCACTTTGTTACTCTCCTATCATTATAAGGCAAAAGGATTGTTAGGGAATCTGACCTTTTGGATAATGAAAAATGTATATCAGTAAAATTCCTTTAATTAGGTGTGGTTGCTGGAAGATATCACATTGAGACAATATGGCCTAGTCCTTACTAGGTTACATAAGAACCGGGGATTCATTATAAGTCATCTCTCTATTACAGATGAATAAAAAATTACTGCCCAAAGAAAGTTGGGATCAAGTATGTCCTGGAAGTAAAGGTTCCCATTAGGTGATAAGTCTCTTCAGACAGTACACAAGAAGGAAATCAAGATCAAGAATGGATAAATTTACGATACAGTCAAGAAAAGAAAAGATATCCCAATTGGACATTTCTTATTGAGAAGAGATCTTGAGAAGGGTCTTTGAAGAAAACTGCAAATATTTTTTTTTCAATTTTTACTTTTTCTTTTTCTTGTCATCTATTTAGACATTTTTAGATATCTCCCCTCCTCTTTTTCAATCCATCCTTTTGTAGTTTCCTGTATTCCAGTGGCTTGGTATGACATATGGCAGTAACAACCTGCTGACAATAATGTAATGGACTAGAAAGGTTTTCACCCAAAGATACTGCAGAGCAAAATATTGTCCCCAAGGCCAAACTTAGAGGCTTTTATACTTAAAACAAGTTAGTTAGATTAGAATAATAGTTTAGCTGTAATATGTATCATGCTGCTCGAATGAAAATGTACTTTTGTTTTCAATTAATAAACTGATGATCTAGTCTGACTACAGATACTCAAAAAAAAAAAAAATCAAGTTATAATTAAAATATAACAAAAATTTTCAATAATATTTTTTATAATAAATTAATATTTTAAAAAATTATATATTAAAATTAAAATTTTTATATAATTTATTATTTAATAAAATTTAAATAAATATATAATTTATTATAATTATATAAATTAATTATTTATATTAATAATATCAATATTGCTATATATAAAGATTTACAAGCGCATATCTAAAATCAATACATTTTTAATTGCAAAAGGGTGAACCAATGAAATTTAAAAACGCACCAATTTAAGTTATCCCACGGTAATTTCCAATTCTCACCAATGCCGATTTTTACATCTCTTCCAAACGAGTGCGAATCCGAAATATTCGAGCACCTAATAGACGATCGACGAAGCTTATACAGCTGTCTCTTTGTGAACCGCTTTTGGTGTAAGAATATCGTTCCTCTGCTATGGAGAAAACCTTTTAATTATCGAGTACCAAAAGCTTATCTTTCCATTAGAACTTATCTCTCAGCACTTAATGCCGAGGAACAAAAAACCCTGATTCCATTCTTCCTTAAATTTAACTACAATCAGACGCCACTTTTGTTTGAGTATGGTGCTTACTTGGAAAACTTTAACTGCAGTTTACTTTTTAGCGTAGTATATACATGGCTGAAAAATGAAGGTCACAATGAGGAAGAATACGGCTACAGATGTCAGGCGATAGTGAGGGCAATCACCAAAATGTTAATGCGTACTTGTAGGAATCTCAAGTCTCTGAACCTAGCGTCGGCGGTCGAGGTTCCAGATTCGAGTATATTTAAGTCGAGTCAATACGGGCTATCAAGATTAGTCGAGTTGGACCTTTGTCTCGAAAATAATTCATCTACAAATAAACAAGCATTGGAAATTCTGAGCTACCTTTCGTCTCTCTGTCGTAGCCTCCGTAAAACATATTTTATTATCAGAGAAGAAATTAATTCCTTGCCTAAAGAGTCCATTAACTCATTGGTTAGTTTAATTGAGAACCAACACAATCTCAAGATTTTTAGTCTTTATCAAGCAGAAAAAAGTGCTAGCCGGATCATTTCATCACTTCAATTCCAAAAAGATTCGTTGGCAACTATTCTCTTCTCCAGCATCAATTTTAACAATATCTCCGATAATTCTTTGGAAGTACTTATAAATTGCAAAAATATAGTTCAAATGAAACTCGCCTACTGTGGTAATATCTCACCAAATCAGGTCGAAATATTATCCAGATCACAGTTTTCCCTTAAATTTCTAATCTTATATCAAAACAACATATCTTCGGACATTATTTCAGCATTAATCACAATTTGGGGTTCGAAATTAAAAAATTTGGATCTCGATCAACTTACCCGAGAAATTGTTGATTCTATCACAAACCATTGTCAAAACCTATCTAATTTGACCATCAAAGGGTCGTTCGATAACCTCGATTTAATTTTACCGTGGATAAAGGGGTCACACTTAAAAGCATTTAGCTTGGAAAGAACGATCTTCAGAGGAAGGGTATATGGAAAGGAAGAAGTGGACCCGGTATTCACACGTCTGGGGATGAATCTACCTAATTCGTTGAATTACTTGAGGATCAAGGGGTGCAAGTTGATGGAGAATGCGCTTGAACAAATTCTGAGCGTTTGCCAATTGAAATTATTGGAAACTTTATTAATTCAACCTGTTATGGAGCCCATTGAATCGAGGCATCTCGAGTACATCCGAGATTTTTTGAGGCATAACAGAAGTGTCAAAAGGGTGGAAATCAACTTCTACAATATAGCAAAAGCTTGGGGGAGCGAGGAAGAGAGGATTTTTAATGAAATTAAAGGAGAACTCGGCATTGAAATCATAACGACAGAAGATTTTACTTAAAATATTTAGTTCAATTCCGCTAGAAGGGCTTACCTAGAATCATTAGCTGAGGATTTTTCCATTCTAAATATTTTCATTATGTAGTTCGACTTTTATTCCAGTATTTATGCGAAGTGATATAAACGCTTATAATGTAAATTTTCATCAAAAACGGTTATTTCATTTCACTTTTTAAAGGACAATTAAGAATAAACACTTTGGAATAATTTTCTTCGTAATTTCTTGCTTTTTGTATGTACTATTTCTAACTATTGACGCGCGGATAAATTTTATTTGTGATACGTAATCAACCCGTGGATGGGGGTTTGGCACGAGATACATACCCAAAATTGCTGGGTCATGAACGTTGATAATATTGTTTTACTGGTTGATTATGTGTAGAAGTTAGGTAAATAAATAGATAATAAAATACATAATTTCGCTATGATCTTAATATTTGTACAAAATGGAAGAATAATAAAAATTTCCACCATTCACAGCTTCCGTTATATAAACATTAAAAACCACCGCGAAGACGGAGTACTAAGTAGATAATGCTCTCGTTCCTAATGTCATATTCGGATAACATTTTTTTATCATCAAGTTGTTTGTCTTTGTATACTAATTTTTGATGAACCGGTTCAATCCCTATTCGGATTCGTGTTTAATTGGTACATTTATATTCTGAAAACGAATGGATAAATTAAGAAAAACATTTATCATTATTACCTTCTTTACTTTGTATCTTATATTTGACGCTGGATATAGTGTCGCAAGCTTCAGCCTCTATTTCGAAGGTTTTCCCAGTGATATTTTTAATTATGAGAAGCATTTTCCGTTAGAAAGTTAATACTCTACAGGGAATACAAAATGGTTTGGGCAAAGAGAATTTTAAAAGCTTTTTATACCAACAGACACGCAAAAACAGGTTTGTATACGGAGTTAAATTCAACTTTCCGAGATATTTTAGTGCATATAAAGAGGTGCATAATACTCCTATATATGTAATCTCATTAAGCCTTGTTTACAAATTATGCGCATTCACACAAAGAAGATTGAAAAAATTGGCATCTTTCACACAGTTGTCGAAGTCTTTCATCCTAATATTCCTCCAATATTTAATTAACTAAATTATTTCAAAGATTCAAATAATTAAATAATTGATTTAGATCATATATTTAAAATAGTTTATAGATTTGAATTATTTATTTGATTTTTTTTTTTAACCTGCAACTAAAGATAGGTCTCTAAAGGAGGAGACAGGAACAAAAGTCAAATGTTCCTTACTAGGAAACATTAAAATTTTTAAAATAATAACTAATAAAAAATTATTCACAATTGTTCTCCATTATTCAAATCATTGATTTATAGTATTTCTTGACTTTTGTTCCTATTAAAATAAAGAGCTATGAATTTTATCTCTCAAAA